TTTTTTTTTTTTTTTTTGCGGAAGTGGGGGTTGAACTCAGGCCCTTGCACTTGCCAGGCAAGAGCTTCTTCCACTGAGCCATCTTCTCAGCCCCATATTTTTATGGTTTTCTAGTGCTTTAATTTTTTACATGTGCAAGTAGGTGTGTGTACCAATTTTGCTTAGCAGATCAACTCATTTATGTTGTCTGGTGAATGAAATAATGCGCTTTCTGCTTTATTCTTAGTAGTTTCAGCATGTTTAAGTAATAAAGAGTAATTTTCAAATGCACACTATCAAATTAAAAGAAACAAATCATGTATGTACCTTCTGACCTGGGAAGTCTACTTCCAGGGAATTTACTCTTCAGAAAGATATTCAGAAGTGTTTCTAGTGAGCCAACAGGACGCCGTCCCAACCACATCAGGGAAGATCTCACTAAACACTGGAGCTCTCACCCTGTGGAACATGAGGGTTCCACTCTGTGTAGGACTATGTAAGCTGGTGTGAAGAACGTCCCTGTATATTGTTAAATGACATGACAAATATTAAAACGCTGAGTGTAAGACATTTACTGTTCAATAAAACTTGAATAGTATATTAAAATATGCAGTTGAGAGGGCAACCGAAATGAGGGCATGTGGCTGTGCTTACGGTGAGTTCCTAAGGCACATACACTGAAGTGGTTACCACTGATGTGGAGGTGGGAAGGGGATTTTTACCTTTTGTTTCTGTACCTTTTTGAGGCAATTTATTTGCCATGATCTTTTTTTAACAAGTGAACCTAATTGCTTGATAAGAGAAAAGCTGATGTGATGCCTAAAGGTGCACACTTCACGGCCAGGGTGTGGGAGGAGTTGCTTTTCCTATTTCTGCTTACAAGGGTCACACTTCTGATGCAGTAAATAGCTTCATGTTTGACATTACTGACCTCTACCATTGAGTACGTCTGGAATTTTAGAGTTCCTAGAACCTCCAGCCTCACACAGCCTAATGCTGCCTTCCCTCTGAGTGGGGAAACATTGAAATTCAGAAATGACAGCCAGCTAGCGGTGACCAGCCAGACCAGGTTGGCCCAGTGGAGTTCCTGGGGTTACCGTGCAATGCATACTTGCAAGAGAGAGTTTACTGAGATAGGGTCAGAGAAGAGCCAAGCAAAACTGCAAAAGCAAATAAGGAAACTTAAAATTGTTATCAGAGGGCCAGGATGAGAATAGAAGAGTACTGACGCTCCAGGCCTGAAGAAGAGACAGAGTGGGAGCCCCATGCCCACCTGCCATGCAGTGTCACAGGCCAGGAGGGTCGAGGCAGGCCGAGCGAGGGGATCCACTATGCGGGTAGGTGAGCTGATCGGCCCTTTCATTCCTCTTACGGGCCTTAGCAACCTGCAGATTTCTGACACTATCTGTAAAAGTCTTTGCTTGCCTGGAAAGCGCAAGGGCCTGAGTTCAATCCCTGGTTCTGCAAAAAAAAAAAAAAAGTCTTGTTCTCTGTCGGTCAGAAGCTGACCTACTGTGTATTCACTGCAGGGAGAAATGCTTCGTAGGGTTTTGCTTATTACTGACCCGCTTCTGCAGCACACACAGCCTTTAGCGATTATATTGTGTAGACTTACACTGAACTAACTCAAAAGGTTTCAGTTTTGCTTCTTCCTAAATTTGACTCATAGATGATTTTTACCCTGGCAGTTTGGAGCCTGTTTTTAGCTGGTCTGTTTCTCTTTTAGTAGAATCCTTATAATGGCAGTTTGCAAGGGCAAAATAAACTCCAAGCACAGTTTTTTCATTTAGTCAGAATTCATTATGGAATTTTGCATATGAAATGGGGCAGTCAGGCTTATTTTGGAACAGGACTCAGGGCTGTCTCACCAAGCTCAGTATGATAGAATCAGGCATTTGACCGAGGAGCAGCACCTGGCAGAGAGCCAGCCAAATTCCTCCGTTCTCCCCAGAACCGCATCTGAATACATTAAACTGTCAGCACACTCTTGTCTGTGTACGTTACATGTGTCTCTCTTCATTATCCTGTTTTCCCTCTAATTCCAAGAGCTCCTATCTACCCCCAAATCTAGGAAACTCACAGGGGCTTATTAAATGCATGCATTACCACGCTAGCAAACATGGATGAATAAAAATGTTTCCAGTCTAGTCAGAACATGCCACGAACGCTGCAAGATAAAATTTCATCTCCCTGCTACCTACGTTATCAATTCTGTACAATAAACATGCGAAGAAGCATGTGAGTGATGACCAAAGGGTTTGAGGATATAAGACATAATCGTAGCCAGCCTGCGAGTTCTCAGAAGCTTGGTCCTCTATCAAACTGCAGGTACTGTGCCTGAGCTTTTCTGGTTTCTTCTCTTTCAGGTGAATGGCATTGACCTCCGTGGGGCGTCTCATGAACAGGCAGCTGCTGCATTAAAGGGGGCTGGACAGACAGTGACCATCATAGCCCAATATCAACCGGAAGGTCAGTCAGAGCCCCAACCTTGCGATGCTCTTCTGTGCGTGGTGTGCAGGCGTACCTAGCATTACTGACCATCTTTGTAACAACAGTCACCCCTAAATGCCTTAGCACTAACTAGCGTGCAAGTTAATGTTTCGTATTCAATGAACCAAGACTTTGCTGCCTCTAATCTTCCAGGAAAACCTCAGGCCACTGTGAGGATCAGAACTCAAATAAGCAGCATCAACTTTATTTTATTCACCAATGGCTCCTCTGGAAACTGTTTAGATTAAGCAAACAAAGGGGAGAAATTTCCTCTCCAGAAATAGACTATTCAAGTAGATGGCATTCTCTCCTGTGGCATGAACACAGCTCTTATTAACACCAACATGGCTGTAGATGTCCCCGTAGCCCCACTTTTCTGCTCCATGTTTCCTTGTTCAGAATAAATCACTGTGAGCCCTAAGACTTGGCAGCATCAGCATCATCGATTGGGTTAGCCAACTGAGAAGCTGAAGAGATGTCCTAAATTGGAGTTAATACATTCTGCGTTTTGGTCTATTTAAACATCTATTTCTATGATCAGAATGAGGTCAGTGAGATGACAACTGGGTTGTTAACCATTGTGTAGCTGATATCTCAACAAATTCATTTATGGACTGTGTTTTGCTAATGATACATACCTAAGACACCACACAGGGCTAGACTTCATGTCAAATGAAAGAGGAATATGGGTTTTGTGTATAAGAGATGCAGTTAATTTTCTTGAATCTGCATGGCTAGAAAGAAGCGTATCATACAGCTAGCTGAACGTGAGGGTGCAGGATGCCACCAACACTGCATGCGGGCATGGGATGATTGGCCGCTTCAAAGTGTTCTTTGCTCACTTCTCTGTTCTGTTTAGAAGACTGCGATTCGTGTCTTGCCTGTGGCAAGTTAGGTTTTATCATTAATGCTGGCTGACACACAAAGAATGAACAAAAGACTTTCTCCTACGTGCGTTTTGCTGTGATACCCTCATTTGTGCTGACTTTAGAATGAAAATTGGCATGGAAACTACACAAAACTTTTTATAAATGTTTTGTCTCAATGCTCTGTGCCAGCTATGCCAGAGGGCTGGTAAGGAGGGGTTTCGTGACATTCAAAGATGAATGTGAGGGCCACAGAGATAGCTCAGCGGTCTAAGTGCCTGCCTGGGCAAGCGCAAGGACCTGGGTTCAATCTCTGGTACCACGTGCTGTGGCGGCCCCACCACAGGCACACCAAGCTGGCCATGAAGACTGGGCATGATGTTGTGTGCCTGTAACCCAGTGCTGGGGAGGCTGAAACAGAAGGCTCACTATGAGTGTGAGCTGTGTAGTGAGACCCTGTACTAAATACATAAAATTAAAAACTAAAAAACGTGACGCACCCAGGCGCCATCTCTTCCCACAGAGTTTTGAAAAGTCTTTCTGCTTCTTAAATATTAGCGCATTCATTTTGTGAAAGAAGTAAATGGCAAAAAAAAAAAAGGAAGTAAATGACTCCAAAAGTATATATTGTAAAACAAAAAGAAAAGCTCAGTGGTAGCACCAGGTCACCAAATTCTAAGTCATACAGAGTAAAAAAAAAAATTAATAGGAACCTTCCAGTATCTTTCTAGCTGTTTTCCCTCAAACTTAAACTGTGTGCCCTCTACCATGTCCTACTATGTGTCATACATGTCCCTGTTTTCCCATTTCTGAACATTTCAAATGCTTCTTCAGGCTGATAAGATGGTTAGAAAAAAAAAAAAAGATGGTTAGAACTACAGTTATACCAACTAGAAACTTTTAGAAATTGTCAAGCATTCAAACAATCTTTGGCAGAATGATTTCAAGCTTGAAAGATTACAAAGATAAACATCTTCTAGTTCTATCAGTTTAAATCACCATCTCCTCACTGGAGTGTCCCTGAAGCAGCATACTTAATTTGAATAATACATTGTACTTTATCAAGATGCAGATTCAATGAATGTTTTATAAAGCATATAAATTAACTTTTAAAGTACTTCCAAAGAAACCTGCAATTAACTACAAAAATCTTCTTTCAAAATGCCAGCATACAGATTGAATTCACAAAATGACTTCCTTGTATTAGTAGTCTAAATATGGTCTAATTTGTCACAGATTTAAATCAGTCAGAAATGTAATAGCAACACGAAATAATCACTTTTATTCTCCCCTTTGAAAATTTTATGTGTGACCAAACCTTAATTGAACTATCATTTTGAATGGAAAACTAATTGGATTTTTGTTCTGGTCATTTAGGGATATTTAAATTGTAAAATTGATTTAACAAGCAATGATCAATTTGCCTTTAAAATAAGTGAAATCAGTATGTTTTGAGAGCCCATCCAAAGCTTCTCCCTAGGTCCTTTGTTCACACCAGCGCAGTAACAGGCCAGACTGTTACAGCAAGAGCACCTTAGGAAGAAGATTGTATGACAGCTCTTTCTGGATGGAGCAGAACTAGGCTTCCAGGAAACGTAGTTTTTAGTCACATTTACCTGCTTTAGTAGCAATCAGTGTGTTTCTCAACGTTACTAGATATTAGAGCAAAATTGCCTTCTATCCAAGTAATGTAGCGTATTTGTCCTCAAGGATATTTTTATTCTATTGAGAACAGACTTGACCGAGGGCTGGGGAGATGGCTCAGTGGAATAAGCGCTTCCCTGGCAAGCACAAGGGCCTGAGTTCGATCCCTGGTTCCGCAAAAAAAAAAAAAAAAAAGAGAAAAAAGAGAACAGACTTGACCGAGATCGGCGCCCTGTGCCACAGGACCAGCTTTTATGATAATGATGTCATCTCTAAGAATTATGTAGCCTCCGAGAAAGCATAAGCCAAGAGCACCCCTAACAGTGAAGCAGAGCGGCGCTTCCAGGGAAGGGGGGATGGAGGCAGACCTCCTCGAAAGTTCAGTGGGTTTCTGTTTCAGAGGGAGAGAGCACGCTGCTGACGCTTAAGATTGAGAGCTCCGGGCACGCAGGCACTGTCCCTGCGTGCTGCTCACTGATACATCTGGTGTTACCATCCGTGTTCCCACAAGAGTTGCTGCACTGAGGGATGCAGGGCTTTCACACCTCAATACCAAAGTGTCCTCGTGAAGTGTACTGAAGATTGAAAGGATTTTTTAAATTTTGCTTCCTTACAATTAACTTTTGCTTCAAAGACAAAAAGAGATTTGCTAAATAAGTGTGGTGCAAAATGTGAAGCCACTTCCGACTTTGACTTTCAAAGTTTTCCACACATTTCTGAAATAACTGTTAGCAACTGTGATTGTTATAATACAGCAAGAGATGTCTTCCCCGGGAAGCCTCACTCGGCCAGGAAGGGCCCAAGACTTTACACCTTCTCGGGGCCTACGACGAGCGTAGTCCCTGCTGTCTGCATCACTCGATCCACCATCGGTCTTATTCACTATGTGGTTCAGGGCAGGAGAACCGAAGCCAACTCGGAATCTTGCTCCTCTCTGGTGATGTGACTTGACTGATTTTTACCCTATTATTGAACTCAGTTGTGTCATATTCTTCCTTTGAAATTGACATACATTGCCTTAACAATAAGAAGAAATCATGAAGTTATTTTCTTAAAGATTATGTATCTGATACTTTAGGACTAATTCATCAAGCACTGCAGGAAGCAAATTCTTATAAAAACTTAAATCACCTACATTCACTTCTCAAAGTTACTCCAGAATCACTTCACACACACACACACACA